TTAGGAAGAATAAGTGATCATTTCAAAGTTTAATTTTAAAATTTTGCAATAATAAGTTGAAAAAGAAGATTTGTACAAGTGTGTGGGACTTTAGACTGCATGGTCTACCTCATTGTGAACATACATGTATTGAATAAACATGTCATTTGAATATTATTTTCATGAAAAGGCAATTTTGTCTTATTTGTTTCTCATCTCTCTTGTTTGAGCAAAGGTCTCCTTCATACCCTCATTGACTATTTTTTTCATTTTTTGCTAGTGTAATTAAATTTTGTATGGTAATCATGATTTCTGACTATTTTTATAATTTTACTGCAGCAGTTTCTTTTATTATGATTTGTATTTTTAAAATATTTGTTGCCAGATATCTATTTGTGGAGTGTGTTTACAAAAAAAAAATTCTCTTCCTAAAAAGGCTTTGGTCGTCATGCAGCTAGTTTCATGTAAATATATTATTCAAGTTTTATATTATTATTATTATTATTAAATCTTTATTGCAGGATATAAAGTGAAAAGTTTGTACATCTCATAATAAAAACAAACAAAACAATAAATAGAAACAAACAAAGAGAAAGAATACAAATATATAAAAGAGACTTGACTAGTAAATAATATGTCACTATGAGTCTCATATCGAACAAGACACAGCGTGATGACCACCCTCTTCAATTTGGAATATAGTAGTAGAAAAAAACGATCACCACATGTCAGTATGCTTAAACTAATTGATGCTGACTTCATAATGGTTATTTTGTTTGAATCTTGCTTACTTAGGTGTAAACTGTGAAGTTGATGGCAGTGTATGTGTACCTAATCCATGCTTTGGTGACAGTGTATGTGTTCCATACCGAGGCGGTAAATTTACATGCATATGTCCAGGTAAGGAGAGGAGATATTAAATTAGTTTACGAAGGTGGAGGAAACTTATCCTGATCACCCAAAAAATTTAAAAATAGACAAAGTAGCTGAGAATCTTATGCTAATAGGTGATTCCCTCTCAACAGTGAGATCTTGCGTATTGCATGAAAGACGCGGACCGAATGTCTGCTGCAAAAACGATTCCATTTTGAACTCAAATTTCTTTTTTTTCATAGCTCATGACAGGGGAATATTGCATTGAGATATCCTCACTTAATCGAAATTGCCTATCATCAAATGTGTACAGCACATTATTAAGCATGAAAATGTCCCCCAAAAAACTTCTGCATTTGTTGAATCACGCGCGATGTTTGATGCCACTATGACCTTTGTTTGTCCTCTTTTTATGTTTGATTTCATCCATGGTGTGGGATTTTGCAGTTTACGGAAAATGGTCTACTGCTTGTATGTGTTTTTTTTGTGTGCAGTATAGATACTTCTACCGAAAACAATAGAAATTTCTGTTCAATAAAAAGTTGTATTTTCACTTGTTCCAAACCGTATCAGCACTCATTCTATGATTCAAATTTCCCCTTATATGGGGTTAACTAGTTCACCTTCCATGAGTATCTGCCTTTGTTCACATTGGGCACAGATGATGGAATGTGTGATGGAATTAGAATTATGTCACTTTGTGGTCTTTATAACATCATATTTTCATACATCTATTACCGAAAAAACAAACAAAAATATTTAGCATTCAATAAAATATATGTTTTCATTCATTCAAGACATATTTGCAATATTTCAAAATTTCATACCAGTATGTCACAAACCTTGATGCATTTTATTGTTTACATTAGATACGGTAACTATGCAGCATGTGACAGAATCCTGTCACTGAGAGACAGATCAAGTCTCGTAAAACACTTTTCATTGACATATCTCCTAATAAATTATTACTACAAGCAGAAAATGATATAGAATAATAAGGAATGCATTAAAGTATAAAATAATGCTAAAATGGCACCATGTTGATTTTGTCAGTCATTTCATTTCAGGTAATTACACTGGTTCACACTGTGAGTATCTGAACGGCATCAAGCTTGAGTCAACGAAAGATTACAGTTATGACAACGGGGTCCCCTTCCTCCTCATCTACATCTTGTTGGGTGTAGTGGCAGTCATTGTGCTGTTTTTTCTCCTTATCTGTATCGTATGGACCAAACGCCGCAGAGTTCTTTCACAGAAGAAAACATCCAGCCGTGCTAAAGTCAGGTGAGTGTGTACATAACGGCATGTAACACCAGTAATTTATGGAAGCATAGTTATGTGTTCTGAAGCATTAATTGTGTTGGCAACAGCAAAACATGTTATCTTAATTTATTTGGGCTATAATTTATTGATCATAATGTGTATATACTGTACAATCTCTCAAATAAGAGTTTTGTTACATTTTCATTCCTGAGAGCATTATTTTAGGCAACAATGGTGTTACTGGTTGTGTTTTAAATCAGGGTCTCAATTTGTTTATTTAATAGAGTGTAATCAAAGACACAACTTAAATCGACAAGTGAAAACAAAAGTTTTCTCATTCCAATTGCAATAATGAGTTAAAGTCTTCTATATGAATATTAAAGTTGGTATTATGACAGATGTACCTTCATAGTATGTACTCAACAATGCCTTATTTATATCTATTGATTAGATATTGCATACATCTAAGGAACAGGTTTTAACTATTGTGTCCGTAAAAAAAAATATCAAGTTACGGACTTTGATGCACATCATCATTTCATATTTGGTGTTGTCCAGCATTCCTGATAAGTTTAGTTGCTGTGTAACCAGGGGGATTATATTATTATGTTATTTTATAGGTATGATAGCAACCAAGAAAAAGTTGAAATGGGCATGGACTTCCAAAATATGCAAGAAATTCAAGGAGCTGAAGTCCATGAACTGGAGAATCCTACATTCTTTGATTTTGAGGAAATGACTTCCCCAGGTGGTGCATCAGCAGTGCTGCAGGAACAAGAAGAACAGGCTCGTACTCAGATGGCAAGCATCGCTAATAGACCCATACAGAATCCAAAAAATAATATTGTCAGCGTTAAAGTTACAAATGATTTACGTGCTGACTTCAACAAACATGGTGCTCGTCCTCGCATGGCAAACTCAGCTGAGCAGCCGTCTATCGTAACAGACGGTCGTCGAATGAAGATGACAAGTAGTAAAAATAACCTTGGCAACTTTGAAAACAAAGAAGTTGGTTTTGAAGAAGAAGACAACTTGAAGAAAGAACTTTTTGTTAGTTTGAACAATGAATCAGTCATGTACCAGAACCCTTCTTATGACACTGTTGATGGTGCACAGTCGGCTCAACCAATGAATGCTTTACAGACTGAGCAGAAAAATAACCAAGGAAATGAAACGAACAAAAAGAAAACTAGCGTCAAAGAACTTGCTATGAAATTTCAAAGTCCTGGAGTCAGGTCTTCCCAACAAGAATTCAAAAACAATCCTGTTTATGAATCTGATGATGAGGCACAAGACGACGTTCATGACTGAGTGACAAGTGTTTGAAACGCAGCTTTTTTATGCATATGTTTCAGTTATTATTTCCATGGGTCAACTCATTATTTAAAGCATCAGAGTTGTGCCCCATCATGCGTTTAAAATTTGTGAAAACCATTTCACAATTGTGTACATTGGATGTGAGCCACATTGCATCCAAAGCGTTTGGCAGCTGGGCCACTTTAAATATTTGTGATCAGATTGATATTTTGTTTAAAGAGTAGATTATTGCACAATGAACTTTTTCTGGAAAGTAAGGTACATTTCCGAGTTCACCTTGCAGGATTTTAGTTTTAAACATGTATGTACTTTATCATAAAAATGCCATAGCAACAGGCAACTATATTTACATGCTGTCTGCACACAAGTCAACTTGATGACTCACACTTATATGCTTCTTATTTTAGTTTAACTACTTTTTTCACCACTGCCATTCTTTTCTTTTTTCAATATCTGCACAGTGAGACACTAATATACAAACCATGTTATATTTATAATAATCAGTGTTGGTGTGTGTATTCACAGGGAATAAATCTCATGTAACTCTCTGCCCACAGAGCCCTACACAATTATCCTCATACATGATTTATACAGACTAGTAAAATGTTTGAAAAAACAAATAACAGATTGTTTTTTTCTTTCTTGTTTTTTACTGTACATACTAAATATCAGTTTGAAATCATGTGCCTTTTTTAATAAATCAATATTTCATAAATTACAATCATTAATTGAATAAATTTAGTAATGAAATTTACAAAATTATGGGTAAAGCTGATTTGATTTACAAAATAAATATGCAAATTAATTAATTTTAAACTATTCATTATTCAGAAGCTTTATCCGATTCAATGCTGGTAATTGAATCCGTTCTGTTTTGCTTATACATATCATATAGATCTCAGTTCTTTATACATGTTTTTTATTTTTGTATTATAAAAATGGACTTTGTACTTTTTTATACTCATCATTAAACTAACTATCAGTAAAAGTGGATTTTTTCAGTCAGGCATTTGATACTTTGAAAATTTGAATTGGAAGAAGAAAGAATATTAAGAGTTATCAAAATGAAATACATTTCAGTGCATAATCACTTTAATAATGAGATATACAAATTGATAAATATACTTGTATTGGCTGTATAAGTTCTCTCAAATGTTCGTTGCTGAGTCATATCAAATAATCAAGTAATACAGTTTGTAAATCAATACAGCTTACATTTCTGTTAACAGAAAAAGCTGGATCAGCCACAAATACATAATATATAACTATAGTACTGTAAATATATTTACTGAGTTTTAATTTTACTATTTTTGCAGATGTAAAAACAGATCTGTGTAATTGAATCCATGCAAACATTAGAACTCATTGTTTCCTTGGCAAATTTGTTAACTTAAAACCCAGTGAATTTTTTCTAAGTATCAAATGGTGAAATTAAATGTTCATTACAATAAATGGTTTCACAAAAGACACTAGAAAATATTTTCTAGCGTTTTGTTTCACAGTACTTAATGTCTTACAAATTCCCAATTTTCTATATACATAATAATGTAATTACCATATTTGCTTTATTAAAAGCCAATTTAATTGAAGTGCATACAAACCCCAAATCACATTTGTTTTTATACTGAATCATTTATATGCAACTTAGTTTTCCCACTAAAAGAAACACATGTAATGTACATATGCACACGCCCTTCTAATATAGCAACCATGGTAGTTGGGATTTTGACTAAAAATAACACTGGACATCAACAACTGCGACTTTTGCTTAATTTTCTTTTAATTTCTGAAATGCAGAAGCATATTCCATATTACTTTTTTGTCTAAAGTACTCAAGAAAATCAATTTATGATATGGATATTTACAAACACCTCTATTAGTAATGTAGATTTTTATTTATCTGAAATAATACATTGTACTTGCTTTATAATTGTATAAATTTTATTGTAGAATTTGTTTTTAATTCAGTTACAGACTTGACAGCATATTAAGCTGTGATAAATAATTTTTAGAGAATTTTGTATTACTAACATATTATGTTAAACAGAATATAACCAATGAAATAAATGGTTCTAACTGGCTGTTCTGTTCCGAGTTGTCATCTGTCTATGTAATTACTGGTGACATTGCCCACTTATCAGGCACAACAGATCTTGTATATGTGTTTCACTGACACACTCAAGAACCATACAAGAGAATATTCATATATGCGCCTGGAAAATGAGATATCTAGTGTTTAATTTTCAGTTCCCCTCTGTATATGAGTACAATGTAAATACCATTAGAAAAAGATCAATTACATATATTATACTTATATTGAACAAAGCAACCAGTGCAATATTGAAGGCATTGGATGAAAGATGTGATAACATATCATTCAATCATATTTTGTCATGTGATCTTATTATATATATTTTTCATATTTAGATAATTATTGCAGATAGGTGCATGCAATTGATGCAGTAATGAATGCACAAACCTGATTAGATTTTGGTTGAAAATCTGCGCTGATTGAAATAAATTTGCATAATAATTACCCAATTGTTAGCTTTTCCACTAATATCAGGAACCAGTCCTCAGATTTCAATGCAACTTGGTGCATGGTTGCTCTGGAAAAAGCCATATATAGTGTTTAGTTTAAAGTTAACTTTTGTGCTTACTAAATACCTAATTTGTAAAAATTTAAATTTTATTGTTGAAGAACCAAGCATTTCAATGAAACTTTGTACATAGGTGCATTAGTGCAATGTGCAGACCTGCTTAGTTTTCAGTTCAAATCTGTGCATATCAATTATCTAATTTGCATAAATCAATATATTATTGTCTTCACAGATATCATGTTTAGTTGTAATCCACTGTTAAGATGACCTCATTAATATCCTTAATTATAATATGTATAGAACTATTTACATTGGTATGAACAACTAATGCTGTAATGAAGACATCAAACAACAGATGTGATTAATATATAAGATGACCATATATGGTCATATGACCTCATTTATTATGCATAAGCCTAATATCTATAGAACACTTGCAGTTTAATAGGTCTGAGCAAACCAATTCTATAATGAAGGCATCAAAGAAGAGATCTGACATCAGTTGACTATTTTTGGTTAAATGGTCTTATTATTATGCACAACTATTTCTCATGCAGCAAATTCTGTACTGAAGATGTCAGACCGGGCATGACTAACTTATCAGGAGATGTTGAATTGTTCGAGTTACGGACATCGAGTTACGAAAACATCGAGTTATAGAAATGACCATGCCCATATTTTTTAAACCATGCCCACTTTTGTGAAACCACGCCCAAATTGTAACTCGATGTTCAATTAATAGTTTTTTGTTGAACGTCCACATTCAGTAACCCGGACTTTAAATAACAGTTCAGAACGGGACATGTGCCCGCCGATGGCAGACATACAAATAACACATGTAAACGCACAATACATTTTACAAGCGTAAAATGTCCAATGATACATATGGAATATGCACTATCATTTCCCTCTGTACAACAGTTTCCTCTTACCATATACACTGATTTGCATCAAATATATATTCTTGCCATATATTGTGAAAATGAAATATCAAGTGAGCTGGTCATTCACGTTCTGTCTGTCTGTGTGTATGTAGTAATTATTGATTACCCAGGGTCCTTTGCGGTCTGAGGTCCATCAAATTTGACCGTCACGACTGCAAGGCATGTCCAACAATGGCGACGTCACGGAAAACAATGTTCCTAGCATTCAGTGTCTGTATTCTACTCTCTGCCATCGAGGTAGCTTATTATATTACGAGGACATCGTTCCAGACATATGAGTAAAATCACTTAGCAAACTTATAATTCTTCACTCAATGCATATATACATGACAACGCATCAGCCACGTTTACTGGTATATTTAGAACAGAAAAGATCCTGTCAAATGTTGGTAATTTTTGAAATTTTTTGTCAATTTGTATATTTGGATTACGAAATATCTTGTTAGTATGTTGTGTAGATACATAACAGCTGACTAATACTAATCAAAGTCTATCGAAGATAAGCGGAAGGAAACATTTCTTACGTAAATTGATTTCGTGTACAGGATTTTTTCTCCTGTGAACCCAGTATCCATTTTTCTTTAGTTCATCGCATCACCGTGTGATCAGCGTTAGGCCCTTGAGCCAACGAGCATATTTACAAGAGGGTCGGGCAAGGGGTATTTTAGTAAGCTGTAATCAAGTGTTTTAAATTTTCGGGTTCATGACAATTGCTAGTCATCTCAATAGATCCTTTTGAAATGTTTTTGTTAAACACAAAGATGTATTCTAAAAACATTAAGGATTCTTACCGCAAGACATTACTCAGTAATAGATAAATAGTTGATGTTGGACTTGACCTGAGTGGATAATGTGATTCAACAAGCCTAAGAAGAGTTTGATTTTGTGTTGATTGCGGAGTATTTTGACGATTCAATTGTTTTGTTGAAGAAACTGTTATGCTGGGAGTTTGAAAATATTATGTAATCATGATTGTAACAAAAGAAAAGAAACAACAAACTACTAGACCATGGGCCAGCCCTTGACCCCCCCCCCCCCCTTATGGGGATTTTTCAAGGTGAAGTTTTTTATATACCTTAGGGTGTGTCTGACAAGAATCAGGTTGTCTGCCATCTGCCCAATGGTGGGCGTGGCCACACGACCGCCATTTTGAATTTATAATGAGAAAACGTGTGTGCAGGCGATTAAGATGAATTGTAGAGGGATATATATCAACTCACATGATTTATTTGTTCAATAATTATGTTGTAACCATAATGCAAACCACATGCATGTGAAAAATGTGTCAGTGTACTTCCTCTGGCACTCATTTCAACTCCAACACCTTATAACAATCGCTTAAACACTGCTAAATTATAGCTTTATGGTAGTCACTCTAAATAGAAAAAAACGATGTCATTTACTTTGCACATCTTTTAATAACGATTGAATATCTATTTATATTTACAGATTTAAAAGTCTTATAGAAAAAGTTTACATATATGTAGTAGTAGTTAAAATACAAAGACAAATCAAAGCCAACAGCTAATATTCGCGGTCAGGTACATATATTGTGCATAAATGTAAGACACAAATAGTTATAAGTTGAATAATCAATTCATTAAATAATCAGTTAATTAATATTAGTATTAATTAATTAATTAATTAATTTGTTCGTTTGTTCGTTCATTTGTTTTCATTCATTCATTCATTCATTCATTCATTCATTCATTCATTCATTCATTCATTCATTCATTCATTCATTCATTCATTCATTCATGTGTAATGTATTACATTTTTCTTTCAGTGATATGATTATTTCATCTATTTAGTAATTTGTTTCAGTTATATAAAAGTGATATTTACTTCCCTTATGCATGGAATTCAATACTTTTTTTTTGTTTATTATTTTACATATTTATAAGTATATAAGTGTTTTCTTAACATTCATTGTAAGTAAAAAAAAAATGAATGTCATTGTAAAGTTCAATTCACATTCATTACTTCCCAGTTTGCCAGTCAGT